CTTGTAACGGTTGAATGAATGCTGCAAAAAAAACAGCAATAGTATATGCAATCATCTGCTGAGCAAATTACAGATAGAAGATGGGTCGTCCTCTAGAAACTTCTTCAAAATTCTGTACAATGCCGCAAATTCTGGGTTTTCATGTGTCAAAAAATAAGAAAAAAATAGTTATTTATGCAATAACAACAGCGAAAAAGAAGAAAAACTATGACCTTTCATACATTTGAACACTGTAATACCCATCAATACACCGAAAGGTTTTATTTGTTAATCGGTTGATACCATTGCCAAGTTGATACTGTGATCCATCTGCTTGCTGCTGAGGTTGTTGGTTGATGGCCATTGCCAAGACGGCACGACGGAGGTGCGAGGAGAAATGAGGGCAAGATGGAATGGACGGCTGTAATCAAATGCGCATAGATTATCGTCTAGCCGTTACCAGCTGCTACCTCAGGTTACAGAGTTTTAGGTTCCTGTCAACCCGAATCCAAGTGATTTTGATCGACATCCATAGAAAATGAGCGATGGTATACAAAACAAATGTTTTCGCGGCAAACATTTTGGACTGGACGACCACACATAAAACTGCCCGCAGTTTCAGAGCCATTTTAATGTTCAAGCGTTGAGCAGACTCTTAAGATTATTCGATATATATTATATATTTATTTTTTTATATTTATATTGGTATATATTTGTATAGTATATATTTATATCTAATGGGCGCACACACCATCACATACAAACAGACTCACTGATACATAAAGTCAGAACAGCTAAAAGAAATATTTTAATCCTGAAAAAGCTGAGTTCTATGATCCTCAAAGTGAGAAAAAAACACCAATTTTTAGCCTAATTTACTTTTTACTCTGCTTTTAGCAGAACCCTAATGATAAAAATTATTTTTTTCTCAAATATATATAAGCAGGTAAAGAGTAAATCTTTTTTACCCCTCTTTGGTTTAATATATACGAAAAAAGAACAGAAGAATTTTGAACCTACCAAATAATTTCAATATTTTTATGGTATCTATACACTGCATGTATGTGAATATCTGAACACGTAAATTTTGAGAGGTTGAAACTACAGAAAAGTCGAGACCAAAAAAGATCTTCAAATAGAATAAATTATTTGTAAAGAAAAAGAAGAGAAAAGACTTGTAAGCAAACTAACGGACAAAATTTTTGCACGTATTACACGAGAAAAAAAGAAAAATGAATATAGCGTTGATCGTTGTTTTCTGAGAAATAAGTACACCATAGACTTTTATCAAATCACCGACAACAACGATAACGATAAGCAATAAAATTGAATACTTGATAAATACGTTACTCATCTGCTCCTTCTTCTTATCCCGGATCCTTCCACATCTCTCTGTTATTCTCGTTCCTTATCGGTGTCTTAATTAGGATTAGAAGAAAATACTCTAATGATTGTCAAAAACAAGTGTATTATACAGTGAAAGAAATTTGTTGAGTATACAAAAACCACCTAACAAATAATCTGAAGAAAGGCAAATAAAAACAGCAATACTGATATACTGTTTTTGCAGCCCCTCATTCAACACGGTATCTGTTTGAATAGTTTAAAAGAAGTTTGGGAGTTAAAAATGAAAAACATATTTTGTCATTTTCTTTTTCCCTCCACCTTTTCACTAAGACCTCCAACCACTTTTTAACCAGTGTTCTCAAATTAATTTCTAGATTTTTATAAGAAAACCATCATTTTTTGGTCTAATAGAATAGTAAAAAGAAAGAGGAAAGTCAAGGAAAGCAAAAGTTGGCAGCAAAAACAACAAAAAAACAATGAAAATGCATTGAATTGATTGACAATAATTTAAAAAAAAGAGATGTAGAAAGACAGGTATCATCAATTAAAAACTGATAACTTTTTGTATGGCTTCATCACCACCGCCATTATGCCCACTACCGTCAGTAGCGTGAAAGAGACAACAAAACAGCGGTGTTAAAGCAACTATTCCAAGAAGGATATTAGTTTAATACATCTACAGTACTCAAGGTTTCTGGATAATTGAGCTGCAAGCAAGTGACGCTAATCATTGAATCGAAAACACTGTTTACACTGCAGAAGATGTTCTAATTTGTTGAATTAAACGTTTTCAGATGTTTCTTTGCTTTTTTTTTTTTTTT